GATTAAAAATTAGAAATGTAAAAAATATAATATGGAAATATTAAAAAAGTTGAAGGATCAAAGTTAAAAATACCAAAGGATTAAAACTGAAAAAATAAAAAAGTAAATTTTAGTGTATTTTGTTGTTTTAAGAGGGGGTAGAGATAAGAGAGGAACGTAAAGAAGAGATCTCCACATTTGGATACACATTAGGTTGAATATATATATATATATATATATATATACTTGAGATCATGTGAGATCAGACTGTTTTCATGAGACACGTTAGAACATTTTTTTATACTTGAAACTTTACACTGTTTTTGTTGTGAAGGTAACTTTCACAGTGTTATTCCTGTGAAGGTTCAGATCTTTTTTTATCTTCATAATATTTTGATGTGAAATTTCAAGTGTAAAAATGTTGTATCATGAATTTCACAAAAATAAGTTGGTCTCATGTTAAAAGAAATGCAAAATACAACTTTGCCTTTGTATTTGATTGAATTTCATACGGACCTTTTGTCACGTCGCTTATTAATATTCCTTTATCCGGTCCATATCCATATCAATATTAAAAGTCTTCGTCTGAAAAAAAAAACAATCTTCTCAATCTTAATTATATTTATATTTAATAATAAAATTAAAAATTAATTAAAATTTTCCCCTCTTTTACATAGCCCAAAAACAATTATTCTTTGATTTTTTTATTAACCTGGATATCTAACCCGCTATGTGAGTAGACTAATTCCCAAGACGACCACCTGCTTTGCAGATAGCCCGGAGTCACCGAATTTGAACCTCCGTGACCACAAGGGGATTTTTATTACTTCTTGTATTTGAACTTGGAACCTCCTGGTATTTTTGAACTTTTCTACTGTAGTTCCTCAAGTAATTTTCCGTCCATGGCCTCACCAACCAAAAAATTACCTGGAAATCAACCAAAAACCCCCGAAAAAGTCTCTCGAAATCGACAAAAAAACCTAAATTCTCTTGAAATGAACAAAAAACTTTAAAATTTTCTCGAAACGGTGGAATTAGGCTAAAAACACATCGAACGACTTTGCGGGTCTTTGATCTACCTTAAAGATGTCCCCACTAGGCAAAAATCCTAGATCTGCCACTGCAAACACCTAAAATCTTACCCGGTAAGTGAAAGAGAAATTTTTTTACCCAATAAACACTTATCAGATAAAAGACGCTTACTAACAATTAATTTTGATAAACGAAAATTTTACCCGATAGAATAAACGAGTGTCGTGGTCGATAAACGGCTAAGTTAACACAAAGATTTAACATTATCGACGATATGTTATAATTACCTTTTTCAGTCTTAAAATGATCAAAAATTCAAGCAATAAAATATATAAATTTATAAAATAAATAAAATAATTATTTTGGATCTAACTGTAAATTTATGACAACTACGTTGGTGTGGACTTAATTTCGAATATAAGCTATAAAAGCAATAATATGTAGTAAAGCATAGAGCTACCTGGCGCTTATTGACTTATTGTTGGTGGTGCTTAATCGGTAAAAGATTCCAAAGATGGCTGAAGTGGCGGAGGAGCAACGGTGGCCGGAGGTGGAAGAAGTGGTGGAAGTTGGGTTGAAAGCTACCACGACGGTGGACATGTTGCCTAGCAATGGAAATGCAGCTATTGTAACTGGCCCAAGATTAGCAGCCAGTGGCGATGGCGGATCGCCGGAAAGCGGTGTTCATTCAGACAAAAGCGAAGGTAATATTTACCGACGGGTTTTTCTTCTTTAGCGATGGTCGTTTCCGTCACAAAAAAAATGCAAATTTATCTAGTTCTTTTTTATCAAATTACATGAAAATTTAACGTACTTTGTTCTGGTTTTTATTTTGGATTTTTGTTCCTGCCAGGAACACTGGACATTTCGGGTATTTTGGATTTTGATGCTTCCGACTCTGATGGAAACAGTGACGGGAATACCGAAACCGTAGACAAGAACGTTGCACGCCAAGTGGAAACCGGAGAAAGTTCCGGAACTACGAAACAAGTAGTCGAAGAGGAAATAGTGGAGTTAGAATTCGAGAAGGCGATACTGAAGCTCGGGACACATACGATGCATTGTCCGAAATGCGATTCCGAAGTTACCAAAGTCGTTCTTCGTCGAAAGGTGGTGATCACTCGGGCGGTTGTCGATCCACCACGTGATCCCGAAAATCTTGTCGGGTGTTTTTCGTGTTTTAGCTTGTTCACTTGCTCAGGTAATGCACTTGGCGTCATTTTCGTAATATTTATACGTGTCGGTTCAAATAAAACAGCTAAATATCATGAAAAAGTAAGGAATGAAGGTTCATACGTGAATCACTAAAAAATCTATTTGAAAACGTATATGTGAAATAATACTACTTATTTTAATAATATGGGTTTACATATGCATCTTCAAATGGATTTTTCAATGATTCACATATTACTTTCTCATGATATTTAACTTTCTTATTTGATTTCTTCCGGTATATTTATATACGACAAAACTTACTGTTTATCACCTTTTGTGAGACTTGAACCCTTAACCTCAAAAAAAGTTGGAATCTACGGATAATCTGGATAGAAATCACCTGTCCCAAATTCACAAGTCTCATTTCTGTCCCACCAATGAAATTAAGACACGTCAGATTTTCATTTATCTTAATTTTATTTAGTTCATGGTTATTTTCTCTCTCTGCTTACTGCTTACGTGTATTCATATGATTGGTGGACATAAATAAGACAATAAAATTTGGGATAAGTGATTTTTATTCTGGTAATCTCGATACTGTTGGACCAATCATACCCTTTTGGTAATATACCGCCATTTCGAGCAACTGTTTGAATCTAACGTTTCCTTTATCGATCAGAAAATGGGTGTTTTAACTTGTTTAACATATTCGGGAATAGATCGGACACGAGCAACCATCCTCTACCTCGATCCGTGGTTCATGAAGAAGGTAATATATTCGAGTTTTAGATTTTGCTTGCGAAATCGACCATTTTTGTGCTCATTTATTCCCGAAAACGAGCAGGGAACTGTTTGAGCATGTTTTGGGTTTTCAAGAAAGACGAAAAGAATACGGAAACGAAAGATGCATCGAAGACGGATGTTAATGACGGATCTACAAGCTCCGACCGACTTCAAACTCCCAAATACGTCACCGGGAGGACTTCCATAGGAAAAGGTCAGGTGTTAACTTTGTTTTCGTTCTTATTTTGGGTTAAAACCTTGGTTCCGGGGATTCATAATTCAAATTTTCTTGCTTTAAGGGACTCGATGGTCGAATTAATGTCCAATACAAGTTTAAATAACCTAAATACACTTTTCGGGTCTCTCCCGTTCATAAAATACATGTAAAACATCAGGACGGAATAGAATTCAACAAAAAACTTTGTTGTTCTCTGTTTGGTGCGACATTTAGGGCCTATTTGTTAGCAACTTAATGGGCTTAACGAAACTTGTGGCTTATTCGGTCAATGATACATGGTTGTTTGGTGATGACTTAATGATATAGAAAATGGTTTATTTAGTAAGCTTATAGGGGGATTATGCAGAAAGCCAAAAGAACACGTTCGTTTCATCTATGAAAACCCCCTCACAAACAAACAAATCTTCCCAATCTTCCACACATAACATCTGTATCCATATAAATATAGGACTTAATGGAAAACCAACTAAACAAACAAGGACATGACAGAACTGGGTGAGATAAAAATGCATTTTTTTTATCCCACCAAAATAAGTGTACAAAAATAAGAAATATGACACAAAATTGGTAAATTACTAAACTACCTATATCAATTCTACCTGACTATCGTCCGTCCAGTCATGTCCAGTCTCGTCTGTATACAAAGTTAACCCAAGCTGTTGAAGTCTCATATCAGCTAAACACGGTCCATCAAAACTTTTATATAGGTTAGGAAGTTAGAACCTCCCGTTTCTCTATAAGAGGTCTCTTAGATTAAGAAGGGCTCCACATATCCTTACAAAAACAATCGTTTTTTTGCAGGTGATTTCGGATCACCTTCTTCCGATCCTCTTCCTTCTTCGTCCATCCCTCGTTCACCGGCTCCTGAAGAGGATGAACCCAATGGTTCGCAGTCCGAAGGAGGGAACGGTGGTGGTGGACGGAAGCTCCTTCAAGGCGGAGTTCGTCAACCCGATACCCTGATCGACGTTTTGCCGGAATCCGGTAACCACAAGAAACCGAGTTGTTGAAAGCTTTTGTAAATGTTCCCTTTTGGTTTAAACTAATGGAATCGTTGACGATTCAGGAGGACCATCCGTTAGTGACGAGATCATTGCGGGCACAGAGAGTAATCGTGCACCGGCAACCGAAGAAGGGTCGGCATCTTTGGAGATCTTGAAGAGCATCGTTTACGGAGCCTTAATGGAGGTCATTGCAAGCTTCAGTGTTGTAGCATCGGCTGCTGCTACTGAAGCCACAACACGTAAGTTTCGATCCTAGCTTGATATTGAAAACGAGCGTGTGAGAATATATGGAATCCCCAAAATTGGCGTACTAAACTACCCATGTCAAATTAAAACCCTAAAACCTTGCACAATTCTTTAGCCTGCTTACCTCATTCTTGTTCATCCAATGCTATCTAGTCTAGTCCCATCTACGTACCAAATGCATAACAAAACAACTGATCCGCCCATTCTTGAAAAGGTTAACAGGCCACGCGGGTTGTTATCTGTTTGAGCCCGTTTTCCTGTTTCGAGGTTTCTGGTATCTTGGAGTCCTTAACGACTCTTTCGGGGCTTACTTGGTTCGAAGGCTTTTGGTTCATATTCTAACAACTAATGTTTCGATTCTTTACAGTGAGCATCGTAGCTTTGGCACTAGCAAGTGTAGTCGGTGGGATCTTCGCCATCGGGCACAATGTAAGCAACACTTCATCGTTATAACGCACTTTAAACACGACTCCTTTGATCACAAAACTTCGATACGCAGCTTTGGGACCTTAGAGACGATTGCTACAAAGGGAACTCGAGCCAAGAATCGAAACAAGAAGCTACTAATAAATACAAGGAGCTACTCGGCCGGGTAAACAATTTCCCAATCCATGCGGTTTTCGTAATACTATCCTTCGTCGTATTCGGGATGGTCCCACCAGTGGCCTATGGGTTCTCATATCGTGAGACCAACGATAAGGACTACACGATCATAGCTGTTGCAATCGTGTCTCTATTATGTGTGTCGTTGCTAGCAATATTCAAGGCTTATATCACCATGTGTAAGGGGTTTTTCGAGTACGTTAAAACCGTGGTGTACTACGTTACTACTACAGTGTCGGTTTCAGGTGTTTCTTATGTGGTAGGGATTCTGGTTTCGAGGTTGATCGAGGAGCTCGGGTTGTTTGACGTGAGTTCGGGTGTTGCTACGACCCTCCTCCCACATGCCACCACCCCGTCTTTGGCATCTTTCTAGTGTTTTACGAGTATTTGTATCGTTTTCAGCTCTTCTTTTGCTTGTTGTTTTTGCACAAACTCGTGTTGATTTTGAAGTTGAAAAATGTAAAATGCACAAATCGAATAATGCTCGATGAACCGATGTAACAAAGTTTCATATTTAACGTAACAATCTTTCATAATTTCCTATCTTTTGAGCCATTTTGACTGGTCACATACAAAGATCTTGTAATATTTAATAACGTGGATATCAAGTTTCTCGTCCACTTTGGTGTAACCCTTTCGTAAAAAGGGTATTCAAGTCACCAAAAATTACAAAATCACCCGGTTCCGGACAAAATGAATACAAAATAGAAAATTCTGAAACATCGATACATCAATTGAGGAAAAAGTTCTTTGTTACACTAAGGGGTTGTTTACCAAACTCAGGTAAGCACTTACCAGATGTCATTTACCTTACTGATGAGCATTGCAAGAACCGAGAATCTTACCCGGTAAGTGAGGGAAGAGACTCTTAGGGTCTATTTGTTAGCAGCTTAATAAGCTTAACAGAACTCACAACTTATTCAGTCAGTTATAAATGACTGTTTAGTAGTAGATTAATGATATAGAAAGTAGCTTATTCAGTAAGCTTCGATGGGAGCTTTATACAGCAAGCTAAGTATTCTCCTAACCTACCTCCCCCAATTAAAAAAAACGCGCTCCTTTCATCTTTGAAAAACCCTCCCAAACAAAAAAATTATCAATCTGTATAGACAGATTTGTCCATACAGACAACTTTATCCACAAATGACTTGATGGAAAAACAACTAAATAGCCTCGTACCCGATAAGTGCTTAACGGGTAAAAGACGCTAATCGCAATCCGTTTTAATGACCGATAATGTTACCCAATAAGGTAAATTAGGGTGAAAATTATTGCCGGTAAGCGCTTATATTTTGATACAGTTTATTAACAAGTAATAAGAAAAATAAAAGAAAAAACAGGATAGTTGTGGGATTCTTTGTGATTCATCTTTAAATCAAACTGCACATTTAGGCTCTATGGAAATAGTTACATTATAGAGAGATTTCCAACATGCTAAAAAATGAGACAGAACATGTAAGATGATGATACAGATTACCTCGAAATCGAAGTCAAAACGTCCATTTCGGAGACGAACGGATTGGCATTGGCCGAGGTCGATAAGGTTGCCGCTCCGAGTTGGTCTGTTTCTTCATGATCGACGATACGGTAGGGCTATAATAGTCATTACTCCTGTGAGAAGTTGTACCTTGTGAATACCCTTTCGTATCTCTTCGACCATTCAGGTTCCTCTGGACGGATCCTGACCCTGAACCCCATCTGGTGTAATTCACACAGCTCTGGCTCCTCCCTACCTGCTGCTGATGATGAAATCTTCCGTCTTTTGGACTCGGAAAGTTACGGCTCTCAGCAGTTTCTGCCGAGTACATTGTGGTCTCTCCTTCACTGTTATACCCATTTTGCCCCTGTGGTAACTCAATTGGATTTGGGGATGCACATGACTGGACCTCGCTGTGGGCCCCATTTACGGAACCTGTCGAAACAATATCATCTTCGGCTATGGGAACTTCTTTCTTTCTTACAGGCAGTGGTGTGGCAGTTGGTTTGGCAATTCTGGGTGGGAAGTTGATATCCAAGAGCTGAATTTGGGCGTTTTCGGTTTTCCTAAAAGGCACCGAGATCAATTTTGGGGAATCGTAAATCTCGGGAGTTGGGATTCCCTGTAGATGAGTAGCAATGGTACGATTTTGATCAATGGGTGGTGTTTCATCTTGAAAACTACGGGCCATTGGGGAAGAACTAGATCCTGGATGATCTTGATCTTTGGGTTTCGAGATCATATTTGCCGAAGATGGAGTTGTTGGGTCGTTTTCATCTTCGGCCGTTTTAAAAACCCGTCTCTTGGTGAATGAAGAACAAGAATGTTCGCTTTTTTGGCCGGTGGACATCAACCTAATAATGGGTAGTTTAGGTTTGTTTACGAGATCATCGAGACTACCTTCCCAGTGCTGGTTTAACCAATCGTAAATTATAGGAATCGGGATGCCGAATTGCGTTTGAGGATTCTTTTTCCAAGAAGAAGTTGAAGAAGATGAAGTTGATGATGATTTTGTGTTCGGGGATGTGGCTAGCTTCATAGGGTCACAGACCATGAAAGAAAGATTGCCGTGTACATCAAAACCAGCTGAACCAGGGCTCCAGCTAAGACCATCAGGGCTAACCTTTATGAGGTTGTCGGTGGCTATAACCACCTTACCTTCACCAACGGTTAGCTCCTTCTTCTCGGTGTAGCCTAAAAGGTAAACCGTACTACCAAGGTCGAGATTTGGTTTAGAACATGTTTTCAAATAGTGAGACTGCTGGACTGGGGGATTTGACTCTCCATCGATGACATCTAGGCCGACTATGGTTAGATCGAGCACGGAGCTAGTAATGAAGAACCTGTTAATGATTTGATGACATGAGAAACTTTCAAAAGCAAAGTGCACATTTTTATAGCAACCTTAAGGGAACTAGTTTAGAAGGTAGAAGGAATAACATTTAATGGAAAAGAAAATTTTAAATAATAACATAGACCGACTAAAATACAAAAAATATTGGATATATAATGAGGTTTAAATAAGAAGATTCGTATGTGAATCATTGAGAAAGTCTATTAAAAAGATGCATATGTCAACCGACGTTATATTATTCATATTGGTTTACATATGCATCTTCAAATGGATTTTTTCAATGATTCACAAAGAAATTTTCTCTTAACATTCTCTTTTTAACTTTTCACGATATTTAGTCTTTTTATTTTAAGCGGCCCTATATATAATAGTAAAAGAAGAAATAGCATGGTTAACTAGATGTTTCACTAGCATGTTATAATTAAACTACTTTTGATCAACCATACATAAGCAAACTTCTAAGGTTGTAATGATCTACATGGTGACATACAATCATGAGAATGGGTATGTTAGGTAGTCTAGCTAATAAGCTAGTTGTTCATTGAAAAGCTAACTGTTGGCCAAGAAGCTGGTTGATAAACTAGTCATGTTTGGCAAAAAGAAACTAGTTCATAAACTGGATGACAATGTAAAATGACCTAAAAGGACATGTTGAAAAATTCAAGTGGCGTAATTTGAAAAAAGTTCTTGCAGCTTGTTGAAACGCTACTTGTAAGTAGTTTTTTTCAAAAAGCTAGTTTATGGCTAACCACATGGGACTTCCCCAATAAGCTTAAAAATATAAGCTACTAATGATTGCCAAACGTGGTCAAAGTTATGCGATTATGTTACTGAATCTTTGCTCAAAATTTTCTATGAGAGATGAAAAATGGCAGCTGTGGTGCACCAAGACTCTTTTAGTCCTCAACTATGAGAGGGTTAGAGAAGGGAATCTTTGTATGCAATCTTTTCGCATGCATTTCGCACCCATGACCCTTTGGTCACAAAGGCACTGTACAAGTTGTTTCAGGTCTCATCCTCTTCATGGAGCCAAATAACTCCTTGTAGTACAGTTGTATCAGTACATTAGCATTAGCTTAAGTAGTGAAACATTAGGGGTGTGTTTGGTATGCGGACGGGATTGGACCGCACTAGACGCAACAAGAGTGTGGCACACAGGTGAAAGAATTGTGGGAAGTTTTAGTAATTTGAGATGGGTAGTGAACCTTGTCTCTCCCTGATTTTTTGTTCAACCTATTTTGGTGAGACAGAAAAAATGCATTTTTGTTCTACTCACTCTTGTCTAGTCCGAATCTAATATCGCACCAAGCATGTGACAAGTTTTTCTTTTATCATATCCCGAGTACCAAATGCACCCCTATAGGAACAAATACGTAAACTGCTCTTGATTCAAACTAAGGGCTATGAGTAGTGAACAAATAAGTAAATTGTCATTATATACAAGAACCGAAATATCAAGGACATTATAGTTCATAAGTTCAGTCTACCTCCATGTGCCCCAAGGGACCCAATTATGGCATACCAAGTGGTCCTGTATTAAAACTTGATGGACGATGGTTTTCCTGGGGATCGCTAATCAAATGATCCCCATGTGACATTATTAACAAGAAGCTTAAGAAAGGTACACATTAGTTGTGAAAAACTTCTAAATGTGCCTTCTCTGAGATTTCAATCAAAGCTGGGATGTTTCTCTTCTTATAATCAGTCTAAGCACATTAGAAGACAAATGCTCAAGTACATATTCAAAAGTAGCACAAAAGGATATTAATTTGAAGTTTGAACAGAACCGATAGAAACGAACAAACAAAAAAAATCAAGAAGTATAACTAGTATTAATTAATCTCTTATAAATTAAATACAACTTTTAGCCAACAAACCGACAATATCTAATGCTCCGCCTAGAAATTAATCCATGACATACTCCTTCCTTTCAAAAGAGAGCTACACTTTTTGACTTCTGATGCCGAACTTTGGGCATATTTGTTAACAGCATAATGAGCTTAATGGGACTCGCAACTTATTCGATCAGCTATACATGACTGTTTGGTAGTGGCTTAATGATATAGAAACTAGCTTATTTAGTAAGCTTCTAGGGGGAAGCTTTATGCAGAAAGCCAAGTATTTTCCAGACCTACTCCTCCCAATTAAAAAACACGCTCGTTTCATCTATGAAAAAACCCTCCCAAACAAAAACTTCTCCAATCTATACCGACATATTAATCCACATAGACAACTTCATCCATACAGGACTTGATGGAAAACTAATCAAACAGCCCCTTTGTGTTCTTGATAAGAAAATCTGATATGAATTTGTTACTAACACCAATTACGTCTGCAGTGTATTCTTTCAAGTTCAAGGTACTTGCACTACAAAAAAAAATCTTGCAGATATTAAAATCTCAAATCAATTTGAAGTTAATAATTATCCCATTTGACATAAAAGTTCACATTGTAGCCATTTTGGGAAGAAACCTATGGCATTGGCTATTAAGGATTTAGGGTTTAGGGCATAAGTTTATATCTTCAATTGAACTAAGTTAATGTACAGTTTTAAGTGCAAAGAAAGGAAAAAAAAAATAGAAAAAGACTGAATAATATCGCTCTTCTATCGAAATTCAACTCATTAGGTTAGCAAAATGGAAATCTATCAGATCTACCAATACTAATTTCAGATTCCATCAAGTAGCAGATACACCAACATAAACACGTCAATTTTACGAAATTTGCTGTGTCTACCTGTTCGGAAAAAGGCAAGCACCGGCACCGTTTTGAAGCTGGATCTCGGCAGCCTCAGCAGCGGCTACCGATGGGAGGATAGCATGAGTAGTAAGTAGAAGGTTCCTATGGATAAGGAAGCCAGTGCCGGTGGAAATTCGAGCCATGGAAGGTCCTTTGCCTGAAAATATGGCGGATTTCGTTTTCTCCGACTTGCCTAATCCGTTACAGAAACACCATGACTCCCCTAACACTCCCATTGCAGTTAATTGTCAACACAAACCGCCTTCAAATCTTTAGATCCAGAAATAAAACTCATGCATTCGTGTTTGTATGTGTATATGGTGTTTATACTAGCAAAAAGAGCTGCTGATACTGGTGGTGGGTTTATCAATGGCGGCTATGGAGAAAAACGAAAGGGGGACGAGAAGCTAAACACACCGGAAGTTACGAAATTTGTGAGTGAGCCGAGAAAGATGAAGGATTGGGGTGAGTGAATATGCAAAAACCTGCAACCGGCGAATCTGTGACTGTTTTCCGATGAGAATTCAGGCTTCTCGTAGGCGTTTGTTCAAAACGAGGGGAGTGTTTTAAATGCTCTGAAAATTTGAATTTCAGCATAAATTAATTACTTATAAAGAATAAAGTTTAAAATTCGATGGATAATTTTATATTTCTTTATTAAAATAAAATTTATTATTTTTAAAAGTAAAAAATGATTTTAAATTTATCTATGGGACCCATATATATCTGATTTAGGAGACAAAACACTGGTTTAGCTTGAGAAGTGGGATCGCCCCCACGTAACCTTGGATCTTTCTCCGGGGGCGATCCTGCCATCTTGTTTGACTATTCTTTTGTCTTTTAGTGTGTAAACCGATTTGACAACTAAAGAGCGTTTTTAACAAACAGGGGACGCTTTTGACCGGTTATTTTAATTGTTTTAAAACCAAATGTCATGGTTTTACTCTATAAAATCAAACACTTCTACTAGCACAACCTGTATACACAATCTACCATGACAACTATTAACACAATATAAAATTACGTGAATATTTATAATTTTTACTACTTTTTTAAACGCATAAATTAATCAACGAAGTTCCCTTTAACTTGTTTTATCTGGTTTTTAATGAAGAAAATGGCCCCAAACACAAAATGTTCGAATACGGAGACTAATCATCTCGAATCGACAAAACCAACCAAACAACACCTAAAAAAATGGATACGATACGAAAGCAAACAATGTTTCAAATCAATTTTGTAAGCGGGGCAGAAAATAATTAGCATAATAAAAGATAAAACAAAATCTAATTATAAAAATACGGTTTCATTAAAAATGAAATACAAGTTCGGCCCAATAGGAATTCCATTTTCTTTAATGACACTACAAGATAGAATGTTTGGGATGGGGGATTTAGGTCGATTTTATCCACAACATTCTCCATGAACTTGTTCCACCTTCATACGGCTTCAGCTCGTATCGGATTTCTCCAATGCTGCAATAGAATCCGACCTTCGTTAGCGTAAAACCAATAAAATAGAATAGATTCGAGGTGGCAGGCCAATTGAGAACTACAAATGTGTCAACTAAATTCCACCTTGCTACATAAAACCACACCAAATCAAATGAATCCGGTAAATCCAATACAAATTGGGGTATGGATAGGGTAAGATGTAGGCAACCATTCCATCATCATGCTACATGATGGCATTAAGGGTGCATTTGGTAGGCACGGGACGGGACTGAATAGGACGAGACAGGCAGGTGAAAGAATTGTTATTTTAATTTGACATAAGTGGTTCTAATTTACCGATATATATATATATATATATATATATATTGGCTCTTCAAGTTTTAACATGTACATTTTGGCAGTTAGTTTAAAAATGTAAATAGAAAATGCTAAAATTGAGAAAATTGGAAAAAGACTACTTTGCCCTTGGGTTTAACGGACTTCGTAGACGGTCATAACGGTGAAGGACCAAATTCGTGAGAAGATGCATACCACCAGGTGTTCTACGTAATAAATGAAGTTTTAGGACCACCTTCGCAAAAACCCACATACCACATAGACCAAATCCGTCATTTACTCATTTATAAAAATGAATAAATGACCCCTTTTTATTAATTGACTATTATAAAACAAATGTTTTTAACATATTTGAAAACATTATTACATACAAATCCTACGAAATCCCGTGAAATACCAACCACCCTTGGGATCTCAAAATCCTATGTTTATGAGAATTCATTGAAATCATGGGATTTCAAATCCAGCAAAACCTTCAAACCAAACATGGGATTGGAATGGAATTCAATTCCAAATCCCTCAAAATCCAATCCAATCCTGCATACCAAACGGGGCCTAAGTTTATCCCTAGACATCAAAAGTTCACGAGTGTGCTTATACGAAAGTATGAAACAATCCAATAAGCATTCAAACCCACCAAGCTTTCTGTTGCTACATTAACGACTAATTAGTTGTCTTTCATAAAGGTTGAACACCCCCTAAATTTTAGCGTGTTGCTTTATCACTCAGATAAAAGAATCACGTCAGTCAAAATGTGATACGAAGTTTAATGTAACTTGTGATTCCATCGCTACCCCAAACCCTTTTTCACCTATCAAACTAGTATAGACAAACGATAATACAAGAAGAGAGCTTACTATTGTAGTTTAGAAGCTTCTCGATGAGATCAACATGAGTCATCAGCATTCTTCGGCAACAATAACGAACAAGTCCCAAAGCATCAAGCGCGTCTCTGTATGAGTCAAAACACAAAGACCACACATAAAGTTTTTATGAACCTGCTCAACGATTTTGAAAGAAAAATAAGGATATGATGAGAAGTTATTTATAACCATTTGCATACATATGATATTTTATAGGTGTTAATCAGTATGATATGCACACCAACAGCAACACATGTTCTTTGGAGAAATGAGAGCTAGCCACATCATTCTAGAAGATATGCACGGTAAATGTACAGAAAATTACTACAGAAAAACTAGTGACGATTCCTGTAACATATGAGCTCACAAGGTAACATCACACGGCGAAACCACTAATTATGACCAAGGTTTTAAAAGCGGACGAGACTCGAGGTGTTTTCCCTCAATGAGGTAAGGTGTAGCCTCGAGGCGGAAATATATATACACCAAAACATGTACGTGTACTACACAAATGTGTGTGTATATATGATTCTAAACTACTAAGGGCGCTCGTTCAGTGGTTCTTGACAGAGGAAAGAGTGAAATTTTGGTTGCTTGGAGGAAGAGGAAGGGTCAAACCACACTTTTTGATTGAGAGGAGAAAGTACTAGCTTTTTCGGTTTTAAAATATTAGAAGTACACATTAGGGTCATTGGGCATTGACTTGTGGTTTTCTTTACAGACTCTCGTACCATAAAGAAATGTACTACTACTGCCATAAAATTTATAAACGAGTCAAAACAAACCATCACAAAAGCAGATCATCTGAGGCATACGCCTCTACACCGTCTCATGCCTCACTAAACCAAGGTGAAAGCCTCGTCCGGGGTCCAAGAGGCGCCGCCCCAGGTGCGGTTTTGGGTCGCCTCGAACAATATTTAAAACCATGATTATGACAAGTTGATAACAAAAGGAAAAATGAAAAAGGGGTACAAAGAAGTTAATTGTGACATTATTCCATTCTCAGTCACCACAATACTAACACATTCAATATGAGTTTTAAGAAGGCAATGTTCACCGACACCCCATAGCATAAGAATTTTAGAACCCTGCTATAGAGTGTTACAATCTCCTATTTCCCAAAATCGAAACATAAAATGGCTGTTTAGGTACATTAAGCTGTTGAAAGTGCTTAAGATGCAAGTTTCTCTGTTTCCTTAGATTGTGATTCTTTCACTTACATATCTATAATCACAATCAACAAATCATCACGATTCTCTGTAATACAAACATCAATGGAAAGTAAGTGTATAAAATTACTCACCCTTCCGTGTAATCAGACTGAAGAAGATCAAGATATGTGTCCCATTTGTTTCCGATAACCTAACAAACCACACAAATTTGTCGATGAAATTAGGTTCTAGAGGAAATTACAAAACCCTAAACAAGCATACAACGAATAATACGGAACAAGAGGGCATCGTAACAATCAGTATAGATGGTGTTGGTTGATGGAGAATTAGGGTTTACCTTGCCGCAAGTGAAACACCGTACAGGAATAATCATGTTTCAGTCTTCTTTACTTTTTCCTCTTCCTCACCTGCAACGACTAGTATATCCCAGGAATATTAGGAGGAAGTGAGGAACTAAAGAAATGGAATAAACCTTATATTTTTAGCGAAATTTATCCAAAATCAGATAATTAACGTATTTTTAGAACTTTTATTTTAGTATCTAAAATATAGAGTTTTAAACATTTAAATACTTGGATAATCGGTTAAAAATTAATTTTAGATTAAAAAAACTAATTTTAAATCTAGACTATATTACAAAGCATTTGACAAAAACTCTTAAAAACAATTTTTTATGCATGAAATACTGTTTATTGATGCATATCACTTAAAATTCAAGATTACAAGTAAATTATGCATAAGTACAACTTATTAAAACTCTATGTTTGAATTCGTGTAACTAACTGCGGATAAATATAATCAAATAGAGGATAAACATCTCATTTTAAAATATAAAAAATCTAAAATATAATTAGGATAATTATCGAGTTCAAACAGAATACTTAATTATTATCTTTATAAAAAATATATTATTAAATCTAAATTAAGTTACTTTGTTACGATAAATTAAATTATAATAAAAAAATTGAATTAAAAAAAATATACAAATAAAAACTTTTAAATAGTTAATTTGATACTAATATTGATATATTTTTTGCAAATTTTATATGATATTTTTAAGGGCAAAATGCACAAAATAGCAATCTACTTTCATAAATTTATTTATTATAGCATTGTACTTTTAGTTTTTCTTAAACAACAATGTACTTTCAAACTATTTTTTATTAGGACATTGTACTTTGAAAAGTTTACCCATTATAGTATTGGGTAACTTTTTGATTTAAATTTACTCATTATACTAGGTTTTCATGCCACCTCATTGTCCACGTAAATTGTCCACATGTACTATAGTGACGTAACTTTCTTACTACATCATTGTACTTTCAAAATTATTTTATTATAGCATCTACTAGTTCTTTATTAAATACTGTATTTTTAATTTTAATATTTAGATATTTTACATGTTATTTAATAAATGTATTAAATGAATTAAAAAATTATAAGTTTGACGGGTGTCGAGTCCGGCAAATAATAAAATTTATGAAAATCAGCCTATTATCTCTAAAACACAACTTGTGATAGCGATAAGTAGGGTCGTCTCCTCAGGGACTCGGTGTTAACCGTAAGTCCAAGACGTAATCTCGTGCAAATTCATTAATAAAACACTATCAATAAAAGAAGGGGGGGGGGGKGGATGATTTATAAACAGCCTAAATATGCAAAATAAATTGAGAACTTAAACAATAATGAATAAATTCTAGTGATGAGTATAACTAGTTCTTTATCAAATCATGTATCATTGACTTGTATAAAAACATTTTCTTAATAGATTTTAGACCGGCCGTGAGTGTCGACACGCGCCAAACACTCCGCTTGTCCTT